GTGGCACCTAAACAAATGATGCCTGCAATAACCAGTGAAGTCCAGCAAGAGCTTTCTGAGCAAGGAGAGGCCCGCTCGGCACCGTAAATAAGAACCAGGATGGCTCAGGAAGGAGTGCTTCAGAGAGACGTCCCGGAACAGAGCTGTGGGAGCGCTAGGGCTTGGATACGAGGCCTTGGGAGCGCCTTGTCCAGGAGGGAATGCCGTGAGCACTGAGGTTTGAAGGCAGCAAAGTACAGCATGTGTCCGTGTAGCGCAGAGCTGAGATCGGCCTGGTGCGCGGGGAGGGCAGGCGGGAGACACTGTATAGCCCGGACAGGACGGTCCTCTGGGGCTCGGCTCTCCCTTACTGAAGGAGGAGCAGTTCTCATTCAGAGCAGTGCTGCATGCTGCAAGTGAAGTCTGAGATGGGTGGAATGGTTTCCTGGGAGGTTTACGGAAGCGGGGAAGCTCGGAAAGCAACAGAGCCTGCTTGAACCCTGCCTTTCGTGTAGGTGAGGGCGGAAAGGAGGGGCGAGGGCCGGGCTGAGGTGGGTGGACCTGGGGAGGAGGCGGGGCTGATCTGGAGAGAAATTCTGGACAAAATATAACAGGATTTGGTTACAGCTTTGAGTAAGATGTGCAGGGAAAACCCTGGGAAGATAGCACTGATACCCAAGGTCCTGGGAGCACGTGGAACCCAGTCCAGAAACCGCACATGGTGTCTATACCGTCTCCCAGGCCGTGCTATTGGTCCTCTCAGGAAATAGGTTGAGGAAGCCTTTCAGGGGAAGTAAAGTTGTGATGACTAGGTAAGCTTTGCGGTGCAGTTTTCCTTTGTTTTGCTTAAAGATTTGGAAGTGGAAAGCATCGTTCAGAATCTCAGATTTACTAAAAATGGAAGACCATGGAAAATAGTCTTTTTTACATAGAAGACTAGTGGTTCTTGTGAAAAAACAGCCTCAAAGGTCAGATACTGAGAGTTTAAAAAGTAGTATTTAAGTATCTTTGTAAAAGTGAGATTAAATTACTCAAAATGAAATCAGTCTCTGTAAAACACGGGCTTAGACTTGTAGGTGTGGGAGCATCTTTTAAAAATTACCTTTATGTTCAGGTGCACTGGGACCCATGCTTAAGAGACCCGGTGCAGGTTTGAGACCTGTTTGTCCTTGTCCACCCCTCTTTCGGCGGTGAGATGTATACACGGCAGGTTCCATGAGTGGTGGGACCGTGGCTCTGGACCGTCCGGGGGTCCCACCTCTTCGGGCACGTTAGATCTGCGAAGTGCCAGCCAGTGTGTACCGTACTTACTCCGTACAGGGGCCAGTCCTGAGCAGTTCGCGAACAGTGCTTCACATCCCCTCCCACTCGCCCCATGGTGCACATCACCGCTGCCCTCATTTTGCAGGTGAGGAAGTGACTCAGCCCAGGTGATGCTCTGAACGTGGCCGAGCTGGCCTCCAAACCCAGGCAGCCTGGCCCTGAGGAGTGTGCCCCAGCTTCTAAGTCCCACCGCTGCCTGGTAGCTGACCTCCGTTGAGGACCTGTGGCTGGGGAATCCCAAGAAGTCTGAGCCGCCCAGCTTCTGTGAGTGTGTGAGCTGCCCTGGCAGGCTGTTCCCTGTGTTTTGGAAATGCAGTCAACCCAAATAGAGATGGGTTCCAAGATGGGTCATGAAATAGTGTTTATCTTAAAAATCACAATCCGCACTTCCTTTTGTTTCTATGTGGTTTCTCTTCTCCCAGATCATAGAGTGATATGTTCCTGGAGCCGCCTGTCCACCTCAGATATGGCTCTGTGTGCCTTGAGTCTGCCGTGACTGTGGGGGAAGGAAGTCCCCTCTCATCTGCACCTTGACATCAGAGTGTTTAAGGGCTGGAACCTGCCAGGGCTCCAGCCAGGAGAGGGAGTTGATGTACAACCTGGTGTTGAGGATACTGCTAGTGGTTAAAACAGAAGCACCCTCCGTTTTTCATTATGCACAATATCTTGGGACCTAAGCTGTTTTTTCTTTGTTCCTTACTGAAGTCAAATTGAAAATGTCTGCAGTAATTGGCTCGTGGCACCGAGGACTGAGGTTTCCCCATCACACATACTTTTCACCCTTAGAATGGTAACACAGTTATTTAAACAAAGAAAATGTGTGGGGTTGTAAGGGCCTTGAGAAACGTGTTTGTGTCTAATCAGCGGTTTGGCATTTACAGTAGGCTCTTGGCAGGAGGTAGGAGATTTGGAAGCCAGGGAGACCTGGTTTGCAATTACAGATCTAGCACGTAGTAGTGAGATAATTCCAGGCAAGTCTTTTAACAATTCCCATCTGTGAAATGGGAATAATAATTCTGATCTCGCTTCTTGGAAGGTAAAATAATGTATGAGAATCACTTAGAAAGTTACTAGATGCTTATACATCCTTCATGATGGTGGTTTTCTTTATTTTTAATACATTTGAGTTCTGTTACCCAAATCGCTCTCCTCTTTCAGTTGGGCCTTCTGCAGGCATGCCTTTTCCTTTAGATAAGTTATTGGCTTCTTATACTTAGAAGGAAAGGGAACCACCTACATTTTTGAGTTCACAGTCTGTTAAATAATGATTTCCTAAGCGACAGGAAACTACATGTGGTAATAGTTTCCATTGACAGATAATAACTATACATCTTTGGGGTCTACAGTGTGATGTTTTGGAACATTTATATATTATGTAATGATCAGAAATACCTAGATTATCCATCATCTGAAGCATTTATCATTTCTTTGTGATGATTACATTCATAATCTTCTCTTCCAGCTATTTTTAATTACGGGGTACAGTTTGCTGATTATGATCACCCTCTGTGTAATAGAGCACCAAAGCATAGTCCTCCCATCTGGCTGTGACATTTTACCTGTTGAACAGCCCTCCCCGCCTCCCCTCCGCAGCTTCTGGTAGGCACCGTCCTGGTGTCTGGTTCTGTGAGCTCAGCTTAGAGTTTGGAGCTGCACAGAGGTGTGGAGCCGTCCGCTGGGCCTGGCTTATCTCACTTAACACTGCAGACTCCGGGTTCATTCCTGCCGGTGCAGCATTTGATCATCTCGCTGGTGAGGTAGGCAGAATTTTTCAGTTAATGTAATACGTGATTGTTTCTGTGTGCCACTCACAGGTAATGGATTGAAGTAGAACATATGTGTGTACTCATGAGCTCTCGGCAGTAATGATGGATGTACCTGCGGAAGAAATGTCCCTTCGAGTATGAAGGAAGGAATCACACCTGCGTAGTGTTCTTTGTGGCTCTTTATTTGGGGCGGGGTGGGGTGTTGAGGTCCAGACTTTATCGCTGAGTTACGTGCCCCAGCCACCTTGCACCCTTTTTGGTTTTTTTTTGGGCCAGGTTTTGGTTCTTCAGTTCTTTGGGTTGCCAGGCTGAGCGCAAACCTGTGATTTTCCTGTCTCAGCCTCCCAGAGTGCTGGTGATATAGGGGAAAGAAACTCCCAACCTGCTACATGTCTGGTACGAGTTTGTGTTCTCTAAAATCAAAGAATGAATTCTAGGAACAACGGAGGTTAAGAGCAGAATCTATTTATTGGGGGAAGAAACCTTCTGTCAGAGAGACGGAGGGGGTCTGGAGTGGGTTTCCGAGGACCCTGCCTTTTCAGAGGATTTTTATAGAGCAAAACCACAAGGTGAGGCGGGTCCAAGCTGGGGAGAAATGGGAAATCACAGGTGGGCATGAGGTGGGACAAAACTATGGTCGGCCAAAAAGATTACGAGCATAATTGCTGAACTAATATTGATTAAATGGAGGTCAAGTGGGAAAGCGAGTCACGTAGCAAGAGGGCGTGGAACAGAACAGGGGCTTTTTCTGGACAGAGTGGGTCAGTAGCTCTTCCTGGCTTTCCCAACGTGATTGATACCTATTTAGAATTTAGTCACTGTTGCTTATCCTTAGGGGAAGTATGTGGGAGCATTTATTTCGTCTTTTGTCTTGCGGTCTGGCCCTCAGTGAATGGGTATGTCTCCCACAGTTGCAGTGTATCCGATCTTCTGCGCTGGCTGCTTTGAGGGTCTGGCCTGTCTGACTGCCTACAACATTTCTACCTAACTCAGCTGTTGGTAACACTGGGATTCCCAGCATGCACCTTTTGTGGATCGTAATACGAATCACTCAGTAACTGAACCCTTGTATTCTGCTTGGCCTAGAGGAGAGCCATGCAGCGCCCCAGTTCTCAGGGTATCTGACCTTGCAGAAGCCACACGCCGTTCCCAGGCCGGGCTGTTGTGAAATCCGTCTGGCACGGCCACAGCTATGGGTGCTTCCTGATCTCTCCACCACAGCTGAGCGAATGTAAACAGGGACAACTGGCTGCCCCAGTTGGCTGTTTGTCAGCCTCTGATTCATTCCACAGGCGCTGAGGTCCCTGGAGGAAGCAGCGTGGCGCACACAGGTGGCTTCTCACAGGGTCTCTCTAAGGAGGCTTCTAAATAGAGCAGCAGAGGCTGCACAGGTATTTCCCACCCCTAGCACAGTGACCCCTGGAAAGGGTACTGTGCAGGTTGGGAGCGAAGCCCGGAAGAAGCTGTGGGTCCCAGGCGGGCGAGGACTCCTGGAGGAGCCGGTGTTAGCACTGGGCCCTGCGTGTCACCTTGGAGAGGAGCTCCCAAGCACGGGAGGAGGGAGGGAGGTTCGTTTTCATTACCAAAGCCTTCCCTGGCGACCCTTCGAGGGCTGATCTTTTTAAATCTAACCTTTCCCCCTTCGATTTAATATATCGTAGTAAATCTTCACCAGGTCCTAAAATTTCACGTGGGATTAGCTTATCTTAATTGGGAGAGTGTGAATTACAAGCTATTTGAAAGAAATACATATTTTCCAGCACCCATAACTCCAAACAGATCACCATTGTCAAGTGGTAGAGCCTTAATGAGAAGGTAGTTGTGTCTAATGACAGTATCAAGTGTTTGTCGGCGCTCCAGGATGCTTGAGGAATGTGTTTTTGCGAACCTTAAACACGGCTCATCCCTCACACTGTGGATTCGCTGAGAAAGGATGACCGGGCTGTTGAAGGATCGCGCTGTCCAGCCCTGGTCCGGAGTGACCCTGAACTTCAGAGCAGCAGCTTTCACTTGATCTGCAGTGAGGAAGTGCGCTGTGGCTGCTCCCGGGTTTCCACTGTGAGTGATGCCCAGAGGAGGATGGGGGTGCCGGGGTGGAACCTCGGTGGGGTGGGGGAGGACCACAGACGCAGTCACTGCCCGAGTGCGCTGACTCAGTTCAGCCTGTGCCGCCGTCTGCCCTGGGCCCTCGGAGGAAATGTTCCTCATCTAGATGGATGAGAGCAAACGACTGACCAGGGCACCTTACTGATAAAATGTCCTCTGGACGCCACGTGAAGATCCTGGAGATTGCGTCTTTCCCATGGCGGGGGGCAGCCCGGCCTGCTTCCTCCGAGAATGCCGACGGGGCAGTGTCCTCGAGGGTGCGCTGATGTCTCGATTAGCAGGTGACAGGAGGGGTTCCTCGGGCTTCAGGGTTCCTTTCCACTACGCGGTGGCTCCATCCGCAGGAGACCCAGGGCTGGGTGCTGGTTGCAGAGGTTTGCTGAGCCTCCCCAGGGCCCACGTCCACTGCCCGGCTGGTCCCTTCACAAGGGTGTGACGGGAAAGCAAGAGGGACAGGTGCAGCCTGGCGTCTCGGCCCAGGGAGAGGTGATCGAGGCCTCTGTTCGCCTGGGGGAGCGGACGCAGCACGCCTCCCCAGCCCCTGGCCCAGCACAGTCAGGGCACGCTGTGGGGGCCTGTCCCCCAGCACCAGAGCCGCGCTTTCACACGCCCTTCTCCTGAGGCCCCTTACCGTCTCCTGTTTCTACCTTCTGCTTCTGCCTCGCTGTCCTTCTCAGAGATGGTAACTGTTCCGCCCTCTTAAACCAAGCAGCTTTGTATCCTCATAAAATCATTTGGCCCAAACCAGCGTTCAGCTCAAGAACAGTGGCCTTTGTGAACCCTGCGAAGCCTGAGATGGGGTGGCTGTGGGAGGTGACACTGGGCTCTGGGTCGGGCACGGCAGAGGTGATGTGCGCTGGGCAGCCTGAGGCACGGTTTCTTGAGGCGAGTCCCTTAAAGCAGGCCCACCGCGCCCACACAGGCCCAGGTGGCCGCTTAGGGACACTGCGTAATGGTTTTTCACATGGTCAGTCTTGCATGTTGCACGAATCCGAGTTGAGTTCCAGCTCAACTGCAAAGTACCCATGGGCTTCAGAAAGCACAGCTGTCCTTGCCAAGCCTCGCTGTTCTCACAGAAGAGGGCTGCGTGAGAAATGCTCAGCACTGCCTGCCTCTCGTAAAGCACTCAGTCTTGTGAGGGAGCCCGGCTCTGGAAAGGACGCCTGAGATTTCCATCCTGGCTCCACCCTCTACTAGCTGTTTTCCTGGGCTGTTTACCTAACTTCTCTGTGCCTCCTTTTCTCCTTTGTGAAACAGTCCTAATGTAGTGCCTACCGCAGAGAGTAGTTAGATGCTGCACCTGTCACTAATGTGACGTTCTTCCTCCGGGGCTTCGAGCAGATCGTCCTCCACGTGTTGGGAGCCATCCAGTGATGCAGATGGTGGAGAGGACTGGGAAAAGGTGTCAGTGATTGTGACGAGGTCCAGCTCGCGGGGCCCGTGTGTGAGTCCCCCCGGGTCTGAAATACCTGCGGCCCGGAGCCGGCAGCCTGAGAAGGACCCACGCCTTGTTCTGTGTCGAGCTCCGGCCTCCTTCCTCTAGGCCCAGGTTCATCCCACGGCCTCAGGACCAAGCAGGTGGCTGTGGTCTCTGCCATCGCCCTGGCATCTCAGAGCCCCCAGAGCCTCAGCCCATGCCCATCGGGCATCTTCGTCCCTTTTCTGTTGCTGTCACAAAATACCTGAGGCCCAGTAATTCATAAAGAGTTTTATTTGTCTCACGATTCGAGGGCCTGGAGGGACCAAATAGCATGGTGGAGAAGCCGAAGGGAACCTGCTCGCTGTGTGCAGAGGGGCCGAGAGTGTGGGGGGCCTGTGTGCCTCACACAGCCCGCTCTTGAGGAAACTGATCTGCTCCTGTGAGACCAGCACCAATCCCACCCTGGGGGCCGAACCCCAGGAAGCTCCCCTAGGCCCCACCTCTTAAAGGGTCCACGACCTCGGTGCAGCCTCCAACCTTGAGTGGACAGGCCACACCCAAGCCACTGCAGAGCCCCCAGGGGCGAGCCCCCTGTGCCTCTCCAGCCGTGTGGCCCGGGGGGTTTTGGTGCTGTGTCTCTGCTTTGGTCTCTGCCCTTTCTGCGCGTTTCCCTGGGGCTGGAAGGCCACGCCACAGTGTGCTGGGATGGTCCCTTGGGAGTCTGCATGTGTCCTGAGCAGCACGGCTCACGCCTGTGTGGTTCGCTGCAGAGGTGCCTGGGGTCGGTTCTGACGTCTGTCCAGGACTTGGACTTTTCCTCAGCCTTTGTCCCAGAACACTGAGGTGACGGAAACGTCTCTGCTCCCGAAAGGAAAACACCATCAGGAAGGCTATTTGCCAGGGTGTTGGTGATCTGTCTTTCATCCAGGGGGATTCTGGAAGGCAGGGGTGGTGTCCTTTTAAAGAAAAAAAATAAGTCTTTCCTGCCAAAACAGTAATACATTTTCTTTACTTTTTTTAAATTGGTAAACACAAAAGCATGGTAAAAAAAGAATGACCTTTTACAACCTCAGGGTGCAAGAATAACCATTGTTAACACTCCGCAGGTTGTTTTCCTTTGATACACTCAGGTACATTTTTAAATGAAATTCATCTAACAATAGCAAACATTTACTGAAGCCATTCTGTGTGCCAGGAGCCTCGCCGCACTTCCCAGGCACGGTCTCCTTTGTCCCACACAAGGACTCTGGGAGAATCGTGATGTCCATTTGCAGAAGAGCAAAGTAGGGCGCAGAGAAAACAGCTGGGAAGGGTGGCCCCAGGGTGGAGGCCAAAGCAGCCTGTCTCCCGAGAACCGCGGTCTGGACTGCGCTGCAGTACCACCTCGCAGTCGAAGAGCTCGGGTTAACATTTCCCAGCATTGTACAGCATTCGTTCCGGATTGTCGGGTCCGTCTCCGTAGTCTACGGATGAGGACGCAAAAGCCTGCGGATGTGTGACTTGGAAATGCCAGTGCCCCAGTGCGCACATCTCCTGGGCCTCACGGTCCCAGGCCACCGTGAGGACACCTGGTGATCGTGAGCCTCGGTCCCCTTCCCACGCCCAACCCGAAAACCGGCCTCTCCTGTCCAGCGCAGGAGTCAGGTCAGCGCCAAGTCTGTGTGAAGCGAGACACGCAGGACTCTCTCAGCTCTCCTAGTGCAGACGTGGACTTCATTTTGCTCGTGGGATTTATTGGCACTCAGCAGTATTTATAGCTGGCTCTCAATTATCCACGCAGCACGCACCCTGTCAGAGGTTGAAAGGAGCAGCCCCAAATAGTTCCGGCCTTAGACCTCACCGGACGCCTTTCCCTGAGACTGCTGACAGGCGGCGAGATTGATGTGGGGCTCTAACTGCCGCTGTCGCTCGCCCCGGACTCTCGGGGCCACGCGGCGTGGTTAAGGCTGTGCAGTGAGGCGGAGGAGCGAGGCCCTGGTGTGTGACCGCTGGCGGGTGCAGTGGTGCTTATTGCCGAGTGTGGTGGGGAAGGCATAAAACACCTTGCTCTCTTCAAACGTAGAGGGGAATTCTCAACGGAGAATGTCGGGTGTTGTTTATAACTTAATCTCATCTGTGGCTGCTGGACAGGAACAAGCGCCTCTGGAACTCAAGGCTGAGTGAACACTGACAGGAGCTGTGTACGGCAGGTAGAGTTAAGGCGCAGGGTGGAAGCAGGGTCTCAGTGGCCCTGGAGGTGGTGGGGTGATGGAGCTGTGTTTAAAAGGGACCACGGGGAGCTACGGTTTCTTTAACTGGGTGTATTCAGTGTGTAACAATTCCTTCCATTTTATACTTGCTTACATGTCCTTTTTTCTGAGTATACTTCAAGTTTAGATGTGCTTATTACTTACATCTATATAATTTGTTACACATTAGTGCTCAGGAAAATCTCAGTTTGGTTGAATTCATTTGAAATTATGCAGCCGTGTGTGGTGGCATATGCCTGTAATCACAGCACTCAGGAGGCTGAGGCAGGAGGATCACTGTAAGTTCAAAGCCAGCCTGGGCTACATAGTAAGACCCTGTCTCAACCCCGCCCCCTCAAAACAAAGAAATGATGCAGCATTTTTTCATTATCTAGGTCCTAGGGAGACTTCTTCACTTGGGCTATTTCAGGCAGAACTCCCGAGGTCATTTTTTGATTTTGTTATTATGCATCTGAAATGACTTCAGGGTGGACTCCTTGGAATAAAGAGTGATGTCACTGAGGTTCATCAGACATTTGTCAACACCCTCCTGTGAACCAGGGAAGTGTTGGCACCACTGTGGGGTACAGCTGTGACACCATCTCTCCCATGTCACCCAGTGGGGGGGGTCGGGTACTCAGATGCTGGAGGAAAGGAGGTGGCAGGTGGTGCCACAGAAAAGCACAGAGCAACAGGGAGGAAGGAGAAGCAGGATTCGCTGGAACGAGGAAGAGCTTCTTGGGAGAGGGGACATTTGATGTGGGTGTCAAAGAGTGTGTAGGGTTTGTGTGGAGGCCGGCATCCCAAGTGTAATTCCTGTGAGGAGACGCTCACTGTGGGACGTTGGATTGTTTGGTCCGCTTCAGGTACGTGGCACCCTTTGGCTGCAAGTGAGGCCTGAGAGTGAGCCCCAGCTTTACAGTGCTGCTACTTCATTTGGGAGCTAAAGGAAGCTTCTGAATAGCGCGGTCAGATCTGATATCGCCGGTAAAAGCAATTTCCAGCCTCACTGATTGTACAGTTACCATTAAGTATCCTGCGTGCACCAGGTAATACTTTCTGTGTTCCCGCAGTCTGTGCTGGGCCCACGAATGAGCCACAGGCGCCCAGCCTTCTCGAGCTTCATGGACCCGAGGAGGACCCTGCGCCTTCTTCACCCCAACCCTAAGTCCCACCTTGGGACCAAGCGAAGTCCCAGTTCCTCAACCCTGTTTCCCTGCGTCCTGTTTTCTAGCCTTACGGTGATTGGGCATTTATTTTCTTCCAGCTTCTTGGGTGATGCTCTCCTGCCAGATAGAGCAGCCAGTGTCTCTCATTCCTGGCAGATTGTGTGTGGGAAGAGGGCCAAGACATAATTTCTGTAAGTCGTAGAGGAGGCCTGACCCAGGGACCCGGGGTCATGTCCTGCTTTGTTATTTGGACTCCCTTCCGTGGGATAGGGCGTCGGGCAGGATTTATCGTGTGCCGGAGTGTTAACACTTGTTGTTGGAAGTGGGTCACTCAAACACTGCGGTCCATTTGAGTTAATCCGTTGCTAACGTTTTACTGTCAGCCTGTGCATCTCTTTAAAAATCAGGTAATGTGTACTGGATATTTTCTTGCCTCCTGTTCAGTTGCTGTGGAGACCCTCTATCAGGCATTCTGATCAAAGGGCTGTGACCCTGACATCCGCAGTGCTTCAGTTGAGGTCCTGTGAACCATTTTGGGCAATTGTGTCCAAGCGCTGCAGAGACCCGAAGAACAGAGCATGCTGATGTGGCGGGAGGAGTAGGTGCGGGTGTCGTGGATTCAGACCTCGGCTCTTTAGCCTTGGGTAGCTCTGTGTTTATAGATACAGCACCTTCTTCGCCTGCCACGGTAAGAGTCCTGGCACAGGGTCCGCTGGCGCCTTCCTCTCAGGCCCTGCCCTGCTCCACGCTGCCTCGGCCCGTGGCTGAGAAAGCTGTTTCATGTGGTCGTATTATTATCATTGCTTGCCTTTTCTTTTTAAAATCACTGCAGTTGTGGTTTGAGTTGTCTCCGTGTCCAGACACCATTGTTGTGTTACTCAGCTCTTAAAATTAATCCTGTGCCGCATCTGTTTAATGATTCCGTTATGAAAATAATCTTTCCGGGTTGATGGGTATGCCTGCTGGAACTTCCTTTCTTTGTTCTTTTCTTCCATCCTCTTGTTGAATGAAGGAGTTCTGGATTAGGTGTGTTTCCCATAATGGGGCAGCTCACTTTGGAGAGCCGGGGCTGACCGGTGACCTCAGTCCAGTCTGCATTTCCTACCCTGGCAGACGATAGTTAAGTGTGTGATCAGACAACCGATCACATACCCTGGAGATTCACGTCTCGCATCCGATGAATGTGTAATAGAGTTGCAGGAAGGAGTTGTCCTGTCTCCAGCTTGAGAGGCACACAGGGAGCGTTTTTCCTCTGGAACTCCAGGTTTGAAAATCTGGAACTTAAAGCGTGTGTGTTACACCTGCACAGACTCGGTCACAGTGGTTGTGTCTTCGGCGCCCGATGTTAAGTGCTTCTTCCCGGTCCCTTTCAGGTCGAACGTCATGACATGAATACCTTAAGCCTGCCCCTGAGCATCCGCCGAGGAGGCTCGGACACCAACCTCAACTTCGATGTACCAGATGGCGTCCTGGACTTCCACAAGGTCAGGCTCACCGCAGACAGCCTGAGACAGAAGATTTTGAAGGTGACAGAGCAGATAAAAATAGAGCAGACCTCCCGAGATGGGAATGTGGCTGAGTACCTGAAACTCGTCAGCAGTGCGGACAAGCAGCAGGCCGGGCGCATCAAGCAGGTGTTTGAGAAGAAGAACCAGAAGTCAGCGCACTCCATCCTCCAGCTGCAGAAGAAGCTCGAGCAGTATCGCCGGAAGCTCCGGGAGATCGAGCAGAACGGAGCCGCCCGCAGTGCCAAGGAGCTCTCCAAAGACAACCTGAAGGATGCCCAGCACTCTCTGAAAGATGCCCACGCGAAGTCGAGAACCGCCCCCCACGGCATGGAGAGCAGCAAGTCGGGCATGCCCGGGGTCTCCCTCACCCCACCCGTGTTCGTTTTCAACAAGTCCAGAGAGTTTGCCAACTTGATCCGGAATAAGTTTGGCAGTGCCGACAACATCGCTCACTTGAAGAACTCTCTAGAGGAGTTCAGACCGGAGGCGAGCACCAGGCCCTACGGGGGCAGCGCCACCACTGTGAACAAACCCAAGTACGGCAGCGATGACGAGTGTTCCAGCGGCACGTCGGGCTCGGGCGACAGCAACGGGAACCAGTCCTTCGGGGCTGGCGGGACCGGTCCGCTGGACAGCCAGGGGAAGCTGGCCGTGATTCTGGAGGAGCTGCGAGAGATCAAGGACACCCAGGTCCAGCTGGCGGAGGACATCGAGGCGCTGAAGGTGCAGTTCAAGAGAGAATACGGGTTCATTTCCCAGACCCTGCAGGAGGAGAGATACAGGTGCGTGCCAGCGTTCTGTTGCAGTTCTCGCAGAGGCGCAGACGGTAGCTGCAGTTGGAGAGTGCCAGAACGTGACGCAGCAGGGAGTGTGTCTGCACTAAGTACAGCTGTAGATCAAAGGGGATTTAGGGAGCAGTGGTGCTTTCCAACCTCCCTAATTTCTTAAATTATTAGAGTGGCGGAGAGCTAGAGACAGACATCATATACCCAAGTCTCCTAAAACCTCACTAGGCAGGCTGTGACTCACGTGCATAGAAAGTTATTGGTTCATTAGACTTCTGTTACAGTCTCCTTATGCTGATTCAGAGATCTGTATTTTATTTCCCTCCATAATTGTGATCAGGTAAAAATCTAATTCACTGTATCACAATGTAGGCTTCATTTAGTATGGCAGTTTTGAAGTCTTTGTATATGTATTTTTATGGACTTTCTTTGCTCTTTCTTTCTCCTTTCTTTCTTTTTTTGAGGCAGGGTCTTACAAACTCCCTCAGTTGCCCATGCTGGGCTTGAATTTTCAGTCCTCCTGCCTCAGCCTCCAGAATGCTGGGATTACAGGCATGCACCACTGCACCCAGCTTATGTACCGTATTTTATCATTACACTTTTTACCCTAGTAAGAAACTTTCAAAAGTAATCGTAAGATTCAAAGTATAAATTCAAATCTGGTGGATTATGTTAGCTAATTTTAAAAAGTAGATGTGCTTTATGAAACTATTCTTAATCTTTATTTGGTACTGGGCGTGGAACCCAGGGTGTCCCACATAACAGGCGAGTGCTGTACTACTGAGCTACATCCCCAGCCCTGAAAGTTTTTTAAGGGACTGATTCATTACACAAGGACAGTGTTCTTGAGTCTGACGTTTCCCAGAGATGCTGACCTTACTTTCAGCCAGGTAGTTTCAGATACAGTCCTTTTTGAGTGCGGATTTTATCCCAAGTTACAAATGCCCTTCTCTATATATTTAGCAACATTTTTGTTTTTATGAAATTATTCTAACACATGATCTACAAAACATCCACGACTGGGAGTGATCAAAGTCATTCCAGGCTAAGGCGTCTTCCCCAAACAATCCATCCTGTTCAAAGTAAACATTGTAGGGTCTCAAACAATAGGCAGAGCCTTTTCTCTGGGGGATGGGCAGGGCAGAGGAGTGGGAATCTTTGTATTTCTCGTACTTCAGATTTGGACTTTGGAGATGCCACCTGGTGACCCATGTATAGTTTGTAGTAAGTTCAGTTTTTCATGGCACTTAAGTCCCGAGGTTAAAAAGCATGGATGGTACGGTATGCACACCGAGCGGGGGCAGAACTGGCAACGGACTGAAGCTGACACCGGCAGCGCTGTTCTTCCTTCGTAGCCCGAGAAGCCCCAGGAACTGTGAAGGGAGGCAAGGCAGGGGGTCCCGGCCTTGAGCAGGGCCCCGGGTAGCCGTCTCCTAGCTGGCCCCGGCCTGCGCTCCTTCCCGCCCCGGCCCAGACGCTGGTCTGGTGTGGGTGATGAACCGTGCAGGACTTGTGCTCCCCTTCAGTGGGAGGGTCTGTGACCTGGCACGCTCAGCTCAGGCTCCTGTCTCCGCCCAGGTACGAGCGCCTGGAAGACCAGCTGCACGACCTCACTGACCTGCACCAGCACGAGACAGCCAACCTGAAGCAGGAGCTGGCCAGCGCCGAGGAGAAGGTGGCCTACCAGGCCTACGAGCGGTCTCGGGACATCCAGGTACCGTGCCCTCCGGCTCGAACACCACACCAGGTCTTTGCAGACTTTAACGTGTAGGACAGGCCTTGGGCACTCAGGGACTCTGGCATGAGGGACAAAATGTTTTGTCTGCGCAAACGTGTCTTCTCCCCACTGACTCCATTAGCTCATGTTACAGACAGTACTAAGCAGCTGTGCTCTGTATGCTTTCTGCCTCTACCAGATATTTATATGGGCTGGGGATATAGCTCAGTGGCATAGCACTTGCCTTGGAAACATGAGGTCGTGAGTTTGATTCCCGGTACCACCAAAAAAAACCACACACAAAAAAACACAGATGTTTATTATCTGCCCCAAGCCCAACACCACCAGAATTATAATAAATTTAAAATAGAAGGTACATCCTGCCTTCAGGAAGCTTCCTGCCCAGGTCAGAAGTAGCCCAGTGGCCAAAGGGCTCAAAGCACCCAAACAAGGGCCTAGCCACAGACTCTGTGGGCCATGCAGATTCAGATGTGTGGTGCTCAGCAAGCTGTGACCTCTGGGGCAGTCCGTCTGCCAGTGGTAAACGTTGGACTTCAGTCCCAGGTGTGCCACGCTCGAGCTGTGTGGTCCTAAGCAGGCCTTGCATCTCTGAAAGGATAGCGTCTGTGTTTGTGCCCATTTCAAGCGTTCGCACGCAGGCTGTGTGCCGGGCACTAGCGGAGCACGGGGTGTGCCTCCTTTTGTTCTAGTTCCCGTTTCCCTCTCAGCACCCCTTGAAGGCGTTCCTGTTATGAGCCGCACTGCTCAGCTGTGGGACCGAGGCACAGAGAGGTGAGGTGGCCTGGACAAGCTCGTGCAGAGCACCCTGGAGTACTGGACATGAGGGAACGTCCTGGAGAAGGCGGGGCTGAGGCGTGGGCAGGGTCAGGTGGGTGGAAGGAAGGGGTGAAGGGTCCCCCATAAACAAAGGCCCATTCGGGATTTCCCGGTGTGATACCACCACTGTCTAGGAGCAACCCTGGGCTTCTTGATTGCTTTCTTTAAAAAAATAAAACAAAAAAATGTACTCTTCAGCTAATGCTCAGCTTCACTGTATGGAGTTTCTCTGTAGACGGTGGTGGTTTTCTCTCTCTCTGACTGCCCGTCCGAGCCCAGCTTTACAAGGGGCAAGGCGGAAACACGGATAGCGACTGTCCCACAGCGTGTGAGCCGCGGTTTCAGCGGTGTCTGTATTTTCCAGCTTTAGCACTAGGTCAGAACTGTGAGGAGAACATCTGTGAATAACTGCAGAGACCTTTTCTCTCACGGGGTTTGAATCCTGGCCTTGCTGCTCTCCCTGTGTCACCCCAGATAAGCCGGTGCTCTGCGCCTCGGTTTCCCTGTCCGTACAATGGAAAAGTCAGTGAGCTCCGCTTCAACAGGTCAGGAGGACTGTCTTGGTTACTTTCCTGTCATTCTGAGACAAAACACCTAATGCCCAAAATTAAGGAAGGAAAGGTTTATTTAGCTCACAGTCTGTGGAGGTTTCAGTCCATGTTCGGTTGGCCCAAAGGCAGGGTGGCACATGGCACGGGGCAACTAACTGTTCATGGCAGCGGAAAACAGCAAAAGCTACAAGAACGAAAGGGAGGAGCATCCACGAGCAGCCTCTTTCCCTCCCTTACACTGTATGCAAACCACCCGCCCCAGGGCAGGCGTAGCACTCACACCCATAATCCCAGCGTTGGACCATGGATCAATCATAAACTCTCGAAGCCTGCCCCGTGACTGCATGAGGCTTTGGGGGGACATTCAGACACAAACCATAGCAAGGATCAAATGGGATAGTATATTTAAATACCAAAGCCTTTGCTAGATACACACTAAACAGCCAAAAACTGAATGCTGGTCATTCTTTTTATTGTACTGCTGAGTAACGACACTCCTTGGGCTTTTTGCCTTCGGGCCTGCTCAAGTTCATCCTTATTTCCTGTCTCCTCGCTCAAGTTCATCCTTATTTCCTGTCTCCTCGCTCTTTGCCAGCATTTCCAAGGCAGTAGGATGAGTGCCTTTGTACCTGTAATTCAGCGGCCTGATCAGAGATGAATGAATGTGCCTGGGGTGCAGGTCTTTGCCTTTGTCTTGTCGCTTTCTCTGTGCCTGGGCCCCAGTGGGGAAGCCTCTGGTCCGGGTCACTGCTGGGTGCACGCCTGGGGCTGCAAGAAGCCCCCGCTGTAGAGTGCGTTGATGGGAGAAGTCTGCCCCCTTGGTCAGTAGCCTAGCATGCTGCAAGTTACCATAGTAACAGCCCTGTTCCCTGGCCCATAGAGTGTATTCAGCAGAAGAAAAGCAAGTCAGTGTCAGAACCGTTATGCTTGTCCCAGAGCTGTGTTTGAATTGTGTGACTATACTGACAGCAGACTTAGACGGGGCTGGTGACCTGCGGGCCTTCTCTCTCTCTCTGGCATCCTGTTGCTGGCACCCAGTCTCTTTCCTGTCCCGCCAGCATGCAGTCCAGCACTGGCTCTGGGCTTGAGGGGGCAGTGACAGCAAGGTAGACCTAGTCCCCGTCCACGTGCAGCTTACGTGTCTCCTGGTCCGCAAGGAGACTGAGGGGAGACCTCCTTCGGGATGTAGCAGTCAGGTGAGACCTGAGAGATGAATGGGAGATCAACAAGGGAAGAGAGGTGGGAACTGGGCAGGCACACGGTTCAGGCAGACTATACTGTGTGTGCAAAGGTCCTGGGGTGAGTTTGTGCATCTTTCTGAAGCTTGGAAAAAACTTTGGTCAGAGGCCTGTGAGGGAGTAAGAAATTGCCTTAAGGGAAGCTGCAGAGGGTGACCCTGAATGTGCATCTTTGACAGATCAGTTGGGTTGCTGTGCAGATGATGCTTCATGGAGGGGGGCACAAAAGGGGCATTTGTGTGACTTCAATGGAAGTGGGAACAGGAGGAGGAGGTAGAGGGATTGAGACGGGCCTGGGCTTGCGGCATTGGAGCTGGGTACGGCCTGGCTGGAGGGCTGGCCCTGGCCCTGCTGCTGCTGTTTCCTGAGGCCAGGAGGCAGCAAGGAAGTGGGGCTGACTGTAGGCATGGCTGGTGCTGCACCAGTGTGCGTTTGGCCCCGTGCCCTGGGTGCTTCGGGTAAGCACTTTTCAGTAAGCGAACCCTCCGCAGGCACAGGACTCGGCGGTGGCTGGCAGGTGGCCTGAGGAGCCCAGCATTCGAAGAGCAGCGAGGACAGAGCCACCCCAGCATCTGCACTGCCCTTTCCCTCCCGTCTCCCTCTGCTGGCCCCGTGTGGACACAGCAGCCGCAAGCTGGGGCGGTCAGGTGTGGGTGGGAGGCGGTGACGCCACGCTGGAAGTGGAGCCCTCCGCTGTGGCAGAAGGCAAGCCCAGCCCTTGTCAGGGGCCAGTGTCCTTCACTTTATTACAAATAGGGGTGGAGCCAGGAAGCATAAGCGTAATTCCTCCTTGATGGTATTTGACGGTCACATGCACGTGCACAGTCTATGCATGAAAACCAGGAAAATGAGCCTTGCGATTCTCGTCTTATGCCTCTGTCCATCACTGTCACTGTGAGCGTGGGGACTGGAAGCTGCCCAGGCAGGCAGGTCCGAGGTGGGTGGGGGGACGCGACAGGATGACTTCTGCCCGTCTGGGCAGCGTGCGCCACAGCAGCGTCTGACCCCGCTGTCCTCTCGCCCGCAGGAGGCCCTGGAGTCCTGCCAGACGCGCATCTCCAAGCTGGAGCTCCACCAGCAGGAGCAGCAGACGCTGCAGACGGACACCGTGAACGCCAAGGTGCTGCTGGGCAAGTGCATCAACGTGGTCCTGGCCTTCATGACCGTCATCCTGGTGTGCGTGTCCACCATCGCCAAGTTCGTCTCGCCCATGATGAAGAGCCGCTTCCACATCCTCGGCACCTTCTTCGCCGTGACTCTCCTCGCCATATTCTGTAAAAACTGGGACCATATCCTGTGTGCCATCGAAAGGATAATCATACCAAGATGAAGCCACTGCTTCCTGCCTTCACGTTCCCTTGGGTTTTGATTTTACAAGAAAACTCTGCGCATACCACCAAATTCCTCACCGAGCCCGTGGTGCAGACAGGAGGGTGTGAGGACGGGGGCTGCGTGGTGTAAATAGCTGCCGTTCTCTTAACTCAGTAGCAGTTGCCAGCGCAGTGCCATACTTGGCTAACGTGAAGTTGTTTCAGAGCCGTCCCCACACTGCTCGCTGCCTTAATCAGACCTGACGCCCAGGGAGCCCGGCGCGGTAAACCCTCACCTGTGGAGGCCCAGAAGGAAAAGGGCCTCCCCAGCCCCTTCAGTCCCTGAAGTCCCGATCGCACTTGCGCTTCACAGTTGCCAATGTCTGCGTTTTCCCTGAATCCTTCCAATAGCAAGCGTGCGATTTGATTCAGGGGTGGGGCGGCCCGGGCCTGGACTGTCGCCTGTGGCAGTGTGTAAATCTCCGCGGAGTCGATCCCACTGGTCACGGGTGCCGTAGGTCTCGTCGTGTACCCGGTGTTCGCAGTGGTCAGCTGTGTGTGGCCGCGGGGCTCGGACAGCTTCTGGTGCGCCTGTCCTCCGCCGGCTCTGCGTTACAGCTTTGGTTGCACTGGAAGTGTAGACACTAGGACTTAGGGGCGGGGCCTCCTCCTTACGCCCGGGGAGCCACACCCTCGACTTCACCCTTCCGGTTCGCACATGCCTCGCCCCCTGTACAGACCTCCCGCAGGGTCGCCTTGTTAATTCGGGGTCCTGTGAGCACTAACTGCCCCCAGCTTTGGGTCGCGGCCAACCTCGACTGTGATGAAACCCCCTTTGCAGACGCGACTCCCTCATGTCTTTCACTGTGAGGAGCGGAGATGGAAGCCGTGCTGCTCGCGGGGGACAGCGGGGTCGTGGTTTATAATAAACTGAGGCGGGGGTGCCGGAGGAGAGGCGTCTGGCTGCCTGGGTGGATGAGATTAGAGGCACGGCTCACCGGGCGGAGCTAGAGGCTCCGCTGAGGGATGTGGAAGGCCAGCAAGCGCGGAATGAATTAGGCCCGGGGTTGGTGCCGGGAGTGCCGTCTGTCTCTGTCTCTCTGGATTGCGCGGGACAAGTCCCCAGGCCTCGGGCTGAGTGCGCTGCCACGGGAAGGGGGGTCAAGCTTTTGTGTGTGCGGCGCATTTGGGGGGTCGCCCCCCACAGCTCTGTGTCACTTTCCCTGGAGTCGGGTCCTCTGTGCGTGTCACAGAAAGGAGGACTTTGCGGAAGCTGCTGATCGCCCTCCTCCCACCGCCTCCACTTGCCAAAGGTGTAAAGCACGCGCTCCTGTGCATTTTCCTCCAGGAGACGCCGCGGCTCCTGGCTTGAAATTAAGTGCAATATTTTGCAAACAGCTTTCTTAGGGAAATCCCCTGGGGAAATGAAATGTGACAGTGTGCCGTGCTGTGAGAGAATGGAAGAGTTGGGCACTTAGTACAAGCCCAGCATGTATGAGTGAGATTCATACAACTCAAGCATTTTTCAGTGTACAGTTCAGTAGTTACAGTCAGTTCACAAACCATACAAACATCACCCCTAATTCCAGACTTCAGCTTTTTAAAATAATAAGCAGCATTTCATGAAAATCGTGGTTAGAAAGTATTTTGGAACCAAGGACAAGGGAGCTGCTGCCCCTAACCCCCCCACATGGCCGTGTCCTCTGCCCCTTGAGTCTCCCATGGCCCCCAGAGTTCACTGGACACACTGTGACCCCGAAGGCTCAGGGGCGGGTCAGGGGTCCAGGTCTGAGGGAGGGAGAAAGTGGTGCTGCTCTCGTTTCCGATGTTAAAGGCCAGCGTGCCCTTCCTGTGGGCATTCAGCTCCATCACTTACGTGCCCGAGCCAAGCTGGGGTCTGCTGGGCCCTCCGAGGGCCAGTTTGGACTGCCTGTGCCTGGGGTGGGTGTTGAGGTCTGGCGAGGGTGGGTGGGCGTTCTAGCCCTTGAGGGTAAGTGCTGCAGAAGTCACAGGCCTCCACACAGGGCCTGGGAGCCTGGCAACCCTGCTTTGATTGACACCTGTCAGATCTGAGATCAGTCAGTCTGTCTGCTCCCCATGAGATCAGTCTGTCTTCTCCCCATGAGAGTATCAGGGAGGAAGGGGGAAGCAGCACCCGCCACCCACTCTACTTGCAGAACCTGCTACAAAGCGGCTTCCTTCCAAAATCCCAGGGTCCGAACCCTAAGCCAGTCCTCCTGACCATGACTTCCTCTTACCTGTTGACTCTTTACGTGCAGATAACCTTGTTTTCACTTGGATATGGTCAACCTAAATGGAATATTTATTTTAGAGTCTTGTGGAAAGTTCATATGAAGCTTTTAACTTTTTAGTAAGATGATACACTTCATGGGGACTTTCATTCTGCGGGTTACTGTTCTCCTCTTAGGGATTGTACCTCCTACTGCTTGTTCTTGTCAATGCTGAAGGTGGAATGAAATTTTATATTATTAACATACAGTTAAAACTAGTGATACAGTTGTGCCATATCCTGGAATTGGATATTTAATTTACCTCTTAAGTCAAGTCATCTTTCTTTTTTTCCCCCAACTTTGGTTGGTTAAAAAAAAAAATTGCACACAGCTAAAGATGAAAGCCGGTTGGACGGACGCACACCTGGTCAGCCGGCCAACGTTACTGAATGATTTAAGATGCACTGGATTTTCTGGTGACAGTATTACGGTTGCCAGGATAATGATACTGTGAGGATTAGAAAGCTTAAAACACTCCTCTATGGGTTTTGTTCAGCTCATATTTTAAATATTATTACACCGGAACAGACTCCCCCCTCCAAGAAAGAATTTTAAAAAATCAGACCCACAACAAAACAGCAGCGCACTGCACTCCACACTGGTTTGCGGGGCGCACAGACCCCTTCCCAGCCTTCCAGCCTGTGGGGTCAGTGTTTCTGCCTCTGATTCCTGTGACCTGAAGATAAGCAGCAGGCTCCCAAACCTTTTCGCCTTCCGGTTTAGCCAGAGCTGTGCTACCCTCAGTCCATCCGCATTCCTGCGTTCAAGCCCTCCCTGTCGCTTGTGTCCCTTTAGATGTTGCCCTCCTCTGTGTATTTATTGCCCTGCCACTTCTCTCGCATATCAGGCTTAATTATAGGTTCGATAATGGGGAGGGAACAGTTTCCCTCGGGCAACTAATTACTTTTGTCCTTTTTGGTTGGGTTTTAAACACCAAATTATTCTGCACTGAATGGAAGCACTTTTGTATTAAATCCAGATACAGTGGAATTGGTTGGGGAAACTGCTGAAATACACTTACTGATACAGACTTGTGTGATTACACGACCTGTTTTGCATGTTTCTTTAATTCTGAGGCGTTACTTAGAATTTAAGGTTTATCCGGAAGAGTACTGTTTCAAGAAGGTTACACGTGACTTTGCTCTGCTTAGGGTATAAGGGTATAAAAAGATAAACCACTGAAAAGGACGAGATTGGCTTATTTACCTCAAAAGCGGATACAAAGCTAACAAAAAACCATAGTTAACAGGAGCTTGGGAACCTATAAGATAAAAAGCAGAACTAACCTACCATCTCCCAAAGTTGGTATAATTCTCTGACTATAAGGAGCCGGAAGCTGTGTACCTTGCTTGTTTCAGGAATGATTTCTGCTCCGCAGTTTTAATTAATTTAAAGCATGTCTGCTGTGTTTGTCCTAAGAGAAGTTTCCCCCAAAAATGTGCTGTGCGTTGGAGACGCGTTTAGGCGATAGCAGCTCTGAACGCAGGAACTGGAGTGTGAATTGTGATGTCCGCTGCAGAGTTTCTCTTCTGTGAGATACTACATAGCTTCATGTCAGCCCAAACTGTGCTTCCTCCATAGCGCTTTCCCCTCTGGTGGTGTTGTCAATGAATATAAAGCAGGTGCCGTTATTTTTTTAAATAAAATAAACACTTGATATTAGCTTTGGTGTTAAAAATTTCTTAAATTTTCACATTTGTCAGAACCCATCTCAGTAGTGTGTGTGTGTGTGTGTGTGTGAGAGAGAGAGAAGTAAGTTTTAATAGACTTTATTTTTTATACCAGTTTCAGGTTTATAGCAAAACTGAATAGATAGTTGAAAGTCTGCTGCCCACACATAGCTGCCCTCATGAGGTTTCCCAGCAGCGTGGGACCTTGGTGGGCCACGCTGACACCTCAGTCACTCCGAGTCCACAGTTTACATGAGGGCTCACCCCTGGTGTTGTACCTGAAAGGACTTGCGGCATCAGACAGCAGAGTTGCCCTGCCCAAAGAATCCTCTCTTCCTGTCTGTCCGTCCATCCTCCCCATAATCAATTTCGAAACTCATTTCCAGTATTAGAAAGCACTTTCTTTTCATAGAGCGTGAACTGCGCTGAGCAGTCTGGGCAGGCGGGCACACTATCCCTGTTCTGTAGGTGATCAGCCGCCGGACCCATGAGCTTTTCTGGAGGTTGCAGTGAGTGGAGGGCTCAGGACTCTGCCTTTGCCTGTCGTCATCTGCCTTTTCAGCCCTTTGCTCGCAGCACCTGCATGTCCTGAGCAGTCTTCTCTTTTTTATTTTTTTTCCCCGGTACTGAGGATCAAACTCATGACCTTGCGCTTGCGAGGCAGGCGCTTATGCCAGTGAGCTGGATCCCCGGCCCCTTTGAGCAGTCTTCTCCATTGGTGGCCCCCCCTGTGCAAACAAGAAAACAAAACTCGGGGGATAGAATCCCTCACTACACTGGCCTGGTCCCTTCCCTGGAGAACAGCGTATTTCAACGTGTGGGAGTCATATGGGACGCAGCTGGTATTTCGACACTTGTCATTCAATGTCTGAAGATGTAAATACAGAAAACTGGTTGAATTAAATGCGTGTCTAGCCTAGCGTGTTTCCCAGTGTTGCTTGGGGCAAGACTCCTTACCAAGTCTGTGTTTCCCTGAAGAAAAGAAATGGGGACAAGCTTCAATGGTTCGTTTCTAACTAATAATGAAAGACGGTCCGAATAAATCAGTACTGTCTGGCTTTGGAGCAACACATGGGTGCCTAACAGAAAAGAAAGTATTACCTGAGATAACCCATAGTCACAGTTTCCTAACATGACACAATTTTATAATAAAAATAATAAGTAATACAAAGCAGTTTATGATAGCTTTTCTGAGCTCGCAACCTTAACATGGCAGATTATTTGCAGCTCCACACGGAGTGACTTTCTAGTTATAACCACAAGAGGGTGAAATGCAGGGGATGCAGAGGCAGCAGGCGTTCACCTAACAGTCTTGGAGCACTTACTGGGTACAGTGCACGGTAAAGTGCATTGTGTAAAATATGGGTGCAACTGTCCCAATGCCCCATAGACAGGCACTGCTATCCCCACTAACAGATGGGGCCACCGCGGGTCCCAAGGGTTAACCGGCTGCGTGATGCTTGGCTAACGGCGAATCTGCTTATTCAGCGCCTACCTGTGTCTCAGGCCCACACTGGTACCCACTGCCTGGCACTGTACTGAAGGAACCGAGCAGCCAGCACTGCAAGATGGATCACTGCCCCAGCGGGGTCCCTCCAAGTCTAGGGCCAGACAGTCAATGCTGTGGTTATGAACTGTGCACCTTTGCCCGGCTGACCCTGCTGAGTGAGGGCAGAGATGCCCCACGCTGACACGCTAGAGCTCCGAACAGCCGTGGACCAACACATTTGTGAAGAGAACAGAAAGCTATTAATTAAAGCAACTGTTACACCATCCCTGGCTTCCTGGGATATATAACTTCCTTGGGGTATATAACTGGCAGTTGACTTAGCTGAGCATTTCGGGGCTTTTTCACTTAGCTCTGAGACACTGGCGTCCCTGGCAGCTTCTACTCCAAGCTCCCTGACATCTGCTACCATCTGTGGTGCCCACCTCTGAAGTCTCTGTCCTTGCCAAGCCAGCCAGAATGCATCCCCTGCCAGGCCTTTAACTCGATTCAGGCAGTTACGGGAACAGGCTGCGGCCATGCTGACAGCTGTTTTGTCGGTGGTTACTCTGCTCTGGTCTAGGGACTGGGAACTGGACTTCTCGGTTTCTGTTTCTTTTCTCTGTATCATCTTTTTTTTTCCCTATTCTACTTTAAAATACACAACAGAGTAACGAAGTGAAGTCATGCCTTGGTCTGAACTAGCAGTTAGGGACTCCTTTCACTACAGAAAATACGTAAGGCTGGCATCCTTCTCTGATTCTTAACTGTCCTCATCACAGCAGTGATGCAGACCCAGCTTTCCACCCAGCCGTTTCCTGTCGAAACTGCTTTTGCCTTCTCTTGCATCACCACTCCCTGAGCCTAGGCCTCCCTGTAGTGCTGGGGGACAGTGAACGATCAGACCAACTCCAACACTTGGGCCACATATAAATGTAAGTGTCCACAGCTGCCTTTGCTTTTCAGGGATGTGTTTGTCAGCGCTGGGTTAGCGCTAATGCTTTGCCCACGTGTGGTCCCCCTGCTGTTCACAGCAGCTGGCCTGACCCAGGGTTGTGAGGGACGGCGGGGTCAGGAGGGCGCAGAGGCTGCCCTGGGCGGGCAGAGGCTGGAGCGCTGCGGACCACATCCCGAGCAGCAGCAGCAGCAGCAGCAGCAGCAGCAGGGCCGTCAGTTACTCAGCGCTGACTCACAGCCAGGTGCTCATTTGCATATTATTCATCCGTCCCAAAGGAGCAGGAACCCCAGGGGCGGCAGGCGCTTCCGATTTCCACACACAGCCATCCCAGTGCCTCTCACTGTGCTCAGTCTGACCTAGAAATGCTCCCACGGGGCAGGGTGCTAAACGGTGCCCACGGGGCTGGCTGTGAAATTAACTGCGAAAACCAGAAATGCCCAGGAGCTTCATCACCTCTGAGGGACATTGCTCCTCCTCCTCTTCCCCTCACCACCTGGGTTTTGGTTTTGTTTTGTTTTGTTTTGCTTGTTTTGTTTTTGAGACAGGGTCTCAGGGTCTCACCAGGTAATTCAGGCTGGACTTGAACTCACAGTGATCCTCCTGCCTCAGTCTCCAAAGTGCTGGGGTTATAGGCATGAGCCACCAAGCCTAGCTTGGTTTGGTTTTTTGAGACAGGATCTCTCTATGTAGCACAGGCTGGCTTCAAACTTACTGTGATCCTCTTGCCTCAGCCTCCCAAGTGCTGGGATTATCAGCGAGCACCAAGCAGCCCTTGGTGATTCGTTTGCATATCTGGTGCTACGTGGCAGCCTGCACCTTTACTAATTTGTAAAAGATCTGCAGTGCCTCTGTCCTTAGCCGGGGTGGACTGTAGACTCCCATTTTGTAAAACTGCTTTATGGCATTAGTGCTCCTTTTAGTTCAGCATGCGGGAAAATAGGAGAGAGTTTAGTGCCCTCTTCCCCATCTCAGAGTTCACTCCCTGGAGCATTTCTTACACCTTGTTGGGTTCTCTGACCACTCTCTAGGCTTCCTTGCTGCTTAATCTCATTTCACCCCCTTCGCATGGACTCCCTGTAATTCAGCCATCATCTGTATGACTAACGCCACCTCTCTCTACAGTGAGTACCTGCTGCTCTTGTGAGCCAGGCCCTAGGCCCAACTATTTACCCTTCCTCTCTGCGTAGCCATCTGTAGAGTGCCCCAGCGTACAACACTGAGCGCATTGTTCTGTTCTTGACGCCAGTCTTCTCTGTGTGTTCCCCTGAATGTCCTCCGTCATCCACTCTTCCCCCAGACCGGAAACGCTCAGGCCTTTTGTCCTGTCCCCTCCGTGTCCTCAGTCGTGTCAAGTCCGTCACCCAGATAAACCCCCATTTGCCCACCACACTGCACCCCACCTGCTGCACCTTGATCAGGGCGCCATTACTTCCCCGGGGGACAGTCCTAGCGGTCACCTACATGGTCCCCTGGTCCCCAGTTTTGCCCCTACCCAATCCATCCCCCGTGGTTCTACTCATGTGACCTTCTAAATACAAATCAAATCACGATGCTCCACTTCCTGAGCCCTGCCCTGTCCCCCGCTGCCCACAGGGTCAGTTCACCTGACGAGGTCCTCAGGATACTAGGCCCAACCCAACGTCCCCCGCCTTTTCACCCCAAGCTGTACACTTCCAGCCTGCGAGGACCTTTCTTGCTCTTTCCCGCCCGTGGGTGATGGGCAGGAGCTTCTTTCTGCCTGCAGCCTCGTTCCTCTCCCTCCAAGACCCTCTCAGAGGTGGGCTCAGCGCAGCCCTGGTGTCCCTCCCCTCCCTGCTCTGCCTTCTGAACGGGGATGAGCTCACTGTGCCTTTGCCCTTTGCCTTTGCCCTAGTGACTGAGGAGTGTTTAATGTCTGCTCAGGGTACACAGTAAACTCTCCACAGCCAGAGCCGTAACTTACTCATCTGGCTTTCCCAGGGTGATGCCAACTGCGGGCATGTAGATGACACTGAGTACATGTAATGAGGAAGGAAGCCATTTACTGCGAGGATGAAATTTCTGTGGAGCTATTTTCCTTCCCAGTAGATTGTGTGTGAGCATTTGGTGGGCGGGGACCACGTCTCTCCCATCTTTATCTGCCGTACCTAGGCAGCTGGTGTTCAGATCTTATTGGGCATGAGTTGTGTTCTCTGGCACCTTCTACCAGAAACCCCTCCCGGTACAGAGGGATAAAGGTGTCTAGAGAACTGCCCATCCTATTTTCCCACACGCCGAACTGGAAGGGACCCTAATGCCATACAGCAGGTCTTACAAAACGGGAGCCTACAATCCACCCTGGCTAAAAACAGAGGCACTGCTGATGCCAGCCAGACTAGCTTTAGGTGCTTTGCAATTTTTTTCCCAGCACAAGATATTGAACTCAGGGCCTTCACACTGAGCCTCATCCCCTCCCTTTATGTTTCTTATTTTGAGGCGAGGTCATGGTAAGTTGCCAAGTTGCCCAAGCTGGTCTTGAACGTGCAGTCCTCCTGCCCCAGCCTCCCAGAATGCTGGGATTACAGGTGTG